GTTGTGGGATCTGGAGGAAGTCACTGGACTGCATGGGACCCTCTTCATCCACCGCCAATGGAGTATGTTGGGCTTAGACTTCAAGGTCACGTCCATCTCTTTCATGCCTTGCTACTACTTAACTCTAAGAATCAACAAGTTTGAGTCAGTCATTGGGGCCACCAAGTTGACACCAGTTAATCTCAGCCGTGCAGAGGAAGGGTCTCTCCCGGGAGGGGCAGACTGCCCCTATCAGACCCCCTGCCTGCTGTCCCCTCGGTGACCACCCTGGAGGTGTTCCAAGTCCTCTCCTCCATTCCCAAGCCTCAAAAGCTTTCAGCAGGGACCTTCTTGACCTCAGGCCCTCCCTCCCCCGCCATCACCCCCACCCCAGGTGTCCGATGCAGAGGAGGGTCCCTCCTGGTGGGCACTACAGGCCATTTCGAGGAGGCGACTGGTAGCAGGGTCAGGCCAGGGGGTCTGTTTAGGAGGCATAGTCTTTCACGGAATGAATCCACAAGAAGCACTAGTCCCTCTGGGAGGAAAACACAGGAGCAGGACCCCTGCATGTGTGTGCATGCATTTGTGCACACGTATCTATGCATGCGTGCATGTTTGTGCATATGTATGTGGCTTTGGCATAATGGAAATTCTTGGGAGGAGGCAGAATCTGACATGGTTGCACGGGCCTTGTGGAAGAAAAGATGACTCTTTAAACTTTCTTATTTTCTGTCTTGACAAATTTCAGACAGTTTCCACTGTCAAGAGACAAGCAGTTGGGCCCAGTGGCTAACTTCACGTAAGCTCATGTCCCAAGGTCTCCATGCACCCGGCACACGTGTTTGTTATAGGAACAAAGGCAGGCCGTGGGCTGGCCGAGAGCAGAGGGGTGGTCCTGAGGTTGAGGGTGCAGAGCGCTGTGAAGTTCATTGTGTAACTTCATGGCTATGGAAGCAAGTAAAAATTCATTGCAGCCTTTCTAGCAGGTTATGCCAACTAGACGTGTATCTTTGAGTTGCAGAATGGCCAAGTGCCTCCCGGCGGTATAATTTCAAGGATATGTGGCAGAGGAAGAGAGTAGTTTGGTGGAGCCGGGGTCAGGGTGGACCCCAGCTCCTGGGTCTAAGGGAATAGGAGACCAGCGGAAACAAGACGGCAACAAACCCACTGGCACCAAGAAGGTTCACCGAGACCCTGTGGACCTTTATTCCAGACCCAAAGAACATCTTCTCCAAAGCGTTTTGACCAAATCAGGAGGGTGCGCCCGGTAGTCATCAGAGAAGGCTGACCCCTTTTTTTATGTTTCCCCCTAACCTGTCCAGAAGAGTCTGCAGTGACTTTGGGCCACTGTGACCTTGAGGTGTCCTGGGCTGCGTTGCCGGCTCTGAGCCCACTGTGGAAGCTCCCCTTCCTCCCTCACCTCCTCAGCGCACACCTCTCGGTGCCCAGGCAAGGAAAGTAAGGCTGAGGAGTGTCTGTTGCCGCTGTAACAAATTACCACAAATTGGTGACTTAAAACACCTGTTTGTTCTCTTACAGTTCTGAAGGGCAAAGTTCGAAGCCAGTTTCGTGGGCTGAAGTCCAGGTGTCTGCAGGGCCACATACCCCAGCCCCTACCCCCACCCCCACCCCCGAAAGGCACCGAGAGGGAACCTTCCGTGCTTTTCTGGCTCGAGAGCAGCAGTCCCTGCCTCCGTCGGCAAAGCATCAGGGTGGCTCTGCCCCTGCCCCCTTCTTATAAGGACATGTGATACCATCTATATCCCACCTGGATAAGCCAGGGTGACCTCCCCAACTGGAGAGTAACTTAACTGCATCTGCGAAGTCCCTTTTGCAACATTGGCAGTTTCCAGGCATCAGCACGTGCACATTGTCTGCAAGGAGGGCATCATTCAGCCAACCATGCAGGCCTTGTCAGGGCCTTGGCCCCCTTCCCAGGAGCAGATATGCCAGCTGCCATGCCCCTCCCCAGTGGCTTCCCACTGGTCTCCCAGGCCCCAAGAGTCCAGGTCACTCCCACTGTCCCAGCCAGGGGGACAATGTGAAGAGGCACTTGTGACCAGCCCAGCCAGGAAGACAGCATCAGAAGGTATCAAAGGTGGTGTCCAAAGCGAGGGACTGCATAGGGTAGCTGCTCAGAGTGAGGTGGGCAGTAGCAGCCCTGAGTCAAATATCTGTAAGAACCAGGACCACGGGGGCTCCCCAAACTGGAGCTCCGGATCTCCCTGGTGTGCGCTAAGGGTGGCGGTTGGTGGGGCCCAGACTTCCCTGATGGCTGCTCGTGTCTGCACCTTTGTTGTTCGGCTGGTTGCACAGGGCTGGGCCACCACCTAAGGGCCATGTTCCCGTGTGCACACATGCACACACATGCCCAGTCCCCAGATGTCCCAGGGAGTGGCACTGGGCTCAAAGCTGACCAAGGCAGCCCCCGACAATGTTCCACAGCCTGGACCTGGAGCTCTGTGTAGTTGATCTGGGGACCACCTTCCCGAGCTCAGGTGGCTGAATTACTTCTGGCATTTTCACACCAGCAACCTGGGCCTGAAGCGCACATGCTTCGTGTTTGCTTATTTATTTGTTTGTTTAGGAGGCAGTTTTTAGGGGAAAGTGGGCAGAGGGAAGGGCTTACTGGAACTATATATCAACCTGTGCGTATATGTGTGTCTCTAAGAGTACATATTTATTACAGGAAAAATTCTGTTTCATTAAATGCACTGAATGTATCCTGGATTGGATCCTAGAACAGAAGAAGGACATTAGTGGAAAAGTTGGTGACTTTATCTGAATAAAGTCTAGGGTTTAGTAAATAGCCATGTACTAATGTTAATCTCTTAGACCAGGGGTCCTCGAACTTTTTAAACAGGGGGCCAGTTCCCTGTCCCTCAGACCGTTGGAGGGCCGTTGGAGAGAGCGGCGCACATTCCACACATGCGCACTGTGGGCCCCGGACCAGTCGGCTGCTAAGCAGGACAGGCAGAGGCAGCGAAAACACCCTGCAGGCTGGATAAATGTCCTCGGCGGGCCGCATGTGGCCCGAGGGCCGTAGTTTGAGGACGCCTGTCTTAGACACATGCATCATAGTTGTGTAAGATGTTAACACCAGGGGAAACTGGGTGTGGGGTATACAGGAACATTCTGTACTATCTTTGCAACTTTTCTGTAAATCTAAAATTATCTCAAAATTAAAAGTTTATTAAAAAGTTCTGTTTCAAAGTTTTTAAAACCCAATATAAAATATGGCTTTGGAAGTTAAACTAGTAAATCCACTATTCAGTCCAACTTGTATCTTTTATTGAGGTATGATGTGCACACGGTAAGGTACACAGATCTTATGCGTCCAGCTCACTGAACTTTTACATATGGAATCCCACATAACCAGCCCAGATCAAACAGCGGCATGTTTCCAGTGCCCAAAGTCTCTCTCTTGTCCCTTCCCATCCAGCAGCTCCCTCCACCAGGGGTAGCCACCACCCTGACTTATCTGCCATCCCTCAGTTTTGCCTGTTCTCAAACCTCACAGAGATAGAAGCTTGTGTCTGGCTTCTTCCGCTCAACACAATGTCTGAAAATCATGCTTGCTATTATGCATAGAAGTGGTTCATTCTTTTATGCTCGGGTAACATTCCGTTGCCTGATGCGTCCTAATTTAGTTATCTATTCTATTTTCAGTTGACATTTGGGTTGTTTCCCAAATGTCTTGTGTTTGAGGTTCTTATGAAGGGAGCCACTATAAACATTCTTATACATGTCTTTGGCAGATATAAGCATTCGCTTCTCTTGGATATATATACTTCAGAGTGGAATTGCTGGGTGATAGGGGATTTGCATGTTTTGTTTCGGTAAATACTGCCAAATGGCTTTCCGTTGTGCTTGTACCAGTCATTCTTCTGCCAGAAAGGTATGAGCGTTCCAGTGGCTCCACATGCTTGCTGATACTTGCCATGGTCAATCTCTGTAACTGAGCTATTCTAGTGGTTAATTGTCTCATGGTTTTGATTTGCATTTCCCTGAGGACTGAAGATGTTGAGCATTTTTTTCGTGTGTTTAGCACATGAAAAAAGCACAGCTTTTAGGATATCCTCCTTTGTGAAGTGCATGTTCAAGTCTTTTGCCTGTTTTTATTGGATTGTCTTTTTCTCATTGATTTGTAGGAGCTCTTTATATATTCTAGATGCAAGTCCTTTGTCAGATATATGCACTATGAATATCTTCTCCCCATCTATGGTTTTTCTTTTCACTCTCTTCATGGTGTCTTTTGATGAGGTGATCAGTTCATCTTTAATCAAATGAACTGTTGGGCCTATTTTTTTCATTCAAATAAGATCTGGTAGCATTTGTGTATATTTAGAACTTAGAAGGAATTTTAGAGATCATTTATGCCAGCAGTTCTTTATTCTTATTCATTAGAATAACTTGAGGAGCTTTTGAAAACATACCCCTACCTGGGCCCAACCACCAGAGATTCTGAATCAGTTGGTCGGGATAAAGTCCAGGCAGGAGAATTATTTAAAAGCTCCCCAGGGAATTCTAATAGGCAGTTGGCGTTGAGAGCCACTGATCTCTGTGAATGGATAGAGCCTAAGACAGTGACATTCTGCTTGGCAGTGACCACATGCCCCAGCCTATTCCTGCCTCTCTGTATTCCTGCCCCTTAGCAGGTGGTTGGCTCTTGCAGGGTAGCAAGTGGAGGCACAATCCTCAGTGGGTTTTCCTCCTTTAAGCCACTCAGTTTGCCTGGGACAGTCCTGATTAATGCCTGTTGCCCTGGTGAAATTATTAGTAGAGCTTCCCTTGCACTCTCAAAAGTGTCCCAGTTTGGGTAGTGTACTACAGGTCACCCTACCCTTAAACTGCTGAGGATGTGCTGCCCTGGCCTGCCATGTCCCATGTCCCCATCCTCCAGGGCTCAGCCTTGGCTCTCACTTGACTCCTAGTTACCTTTGAGTGGTTTGGAAGACATCAGGTATGTATCCCAAAGTGGAGGGGACCTAACTCTCCATCCCAGCAGTGACAGGGTCCTAATTCCTCATCCTTCCAGTTGGATTTCTTGAAACCCCACATGGAAAAGCAGCACTTCCTGATAGGAGGCCGGTGCCTCGTGCTCCCTCACTGTGAAAATTCTATTTAAACACCGCCTGGCCAGACAGAGATACCACTCAGCTGCAAGAACCTATGAGTATTGTCCCCATCCCCCCCAGGTGGCTCTGGTGGGGGGAGAAGGTAAGTCCATTCTTCCACATCTGACAAAGGTCTCTGAGGTTCCCCAGAAGTCTGAAAGGTGTTGCGCCCCCCCCCCAGGTCCTGTTCTCTCTCAGGTTGTCACCCCCTGAGACAACCAGGGCGCACCTGCCCTTTCTGTCTGGCGAGAACTGCACAGGCACAGCACCCCTCCCCTCTCTCTCACCTCCACCTGGTTCTACCTGTCTCCGCAAAGACTGAGCGTCCCAAGGCAGCCCCCGTCACAGATGCACATCCGACAGCCTCACCCTCCCGCCCCCTTGGTTCTTCCGAATTATCTGATTTATCTGAGTTTCAGTCCTGCCCTTAGTCACGTGGCCCACACAAAAATAACTCATGATGGCTCTAGTGGGCTGAATGGTGGCCCTAAAAGGACATATATGTCCAAGTCCTAACCCCGGAATCTGTGAAAAAGGGTCTTTGTAGATGTAATTAAGGATCTTGAGAGATAAGATCATCCTGGACTATCTGGGGGCCCTAAATCCAGTGACAAGTGTCCTTACAAGTGACAGAAGAGAGGACACCGGAAGAAAAAAAATACTGAGCCCTCAGCCAGCGTGTGGAAGGGGCCTCCTCGCGGGCGGGTAGTGGGCTCACTGGGGGGCGAGTTCAGCGGGGAAGGCCTGTTTCAGGGTGAACATGAGAAAGACGACCTCCTCGTTATTGTCCGACTCGTACAGACACCCGAACTGGGGCGACCCGTCGGGGCCGGTCCCCATGCTCTGCAGGTCTGAGTAGGCGCAGCTGCCCGTGGCCAGCAGGGCCGGCTCTGACCAGGCCTCGGGGGCCGGGGGCCACTTGTGCAGGTAGGCGCCCAGGTCGGACCTCTGCCAGGGGTCCGTGGGGTGGGTGTAGAGCAGCCACTGCCCCGCGGAGCCTGGGCCCGAGCCGGGCCTGGGGAAGCTGATGACGCTCCCATGGCAGCCGCCCGGGGGTTCCACGAGCTTCTCCACCGGCTGGGTCTCCTCGAAATCCAGCCCACTGTTGGCGCTGTGGGCCTGGACCCTGGTCCTGTGGGGGCTTCTGGCGTTGAGGTACACCAGCCTCTGTCCCCCAGCCTCGACCTCGGCCACTTGGCACTCCAGGCTCTCCCAGGCCAGGAAGTTCCCCCTCTGCCACGTGCGCCCGTGGTCGTGGCTGAGGAAGCAGAAGGCCGAGGGGGACGGCCGCCCGGGGGGGCGCGGGTTCCGGTACGCGTAGGCGGGCACCACCAGGCTCTGCGTCCTGTCGTGCAGCTGCAGGCAGTGGCCCGGGCCCACCGCGAAGGTGGCCCACTCCTTGTGCGCCGGGCCGATGGCAGAGCCGGTGAGGTCTCTGGCGGGGCTCCAGGTCGCCCCGTGGTCGGTGCTGGTGACCAGGCACAGCCGCGTCACGTTGACCCTGGTGTGCAGCTGGTGGTGCTCGGAGACCTGTCCCAGGACGGCGATGAAGAAGAGGAAGACGGTCCCTGTGTGCTCGTCGTACAAGGGGCACGGGTTCATAGAGCGGTGGCCGTCCAGCTGGGCTTGGGCCACCACCTCCTCGGCTTGCCACTGAATGTGGAGAGAGACAGGAAGGAGAAGCACAGCCTTGAAATCACCAGCCACGGGCACGGGAGCTGCACATTTGGGGACGGGTGGGGACGGCGTGTCTCATGGGGTTAGAGTCAAAGGTCATCGGGGAGAACTCGTCACCCAGTGCTCCTGTCCTACAACACCACTCAGAGCACGAGGCCGGGGCCCACCTCCCTCTCTCCCTCCCTCCCTCCGAGGCAGCCGCTGTTCCCTCAAGCAGCACCATATCTCCCTTTCCTGTCATACGCTTTTACAGAGCTCCCACCACCCGCTAGACCCCAAGACGCAAAGATGACTCAGGCACAAGCCACCACCAGCTCGTCCTGGTCCCCTCCGCTCCAGCCCAGTCCAGCCTGCCATCCTTGAAAACGTTGCAGACTGCAACAGCCTGACCAGTGCCAGACAGGAGAGGACAATCACGCAGCCGGGCTCACACTGGACCTCCACAGCCCTGTCCCACACGCCGCAGCTCTGCTGTTTGTCCCTGCTCAGCAGCTGCCCCAGTGAGCAGTTCTAAGCACAGACACGGTGCCAAAAGTCTAACCTCCACTACTCCATCTACTGCCCAACGCTGAGGGACAAGTGTTATTAGTTCCTTCTTATACCTGGAGAACAAGAGGCTGAGACTGGGTAGAGGGGTTGCCTGGGCCACACCTCTGGTAAGTCGTAGAGTCAGGATTCGAACCCAGGTCCATCTGCTTTGGATCCCATGCTTTGAACGGCTACTATGTAGCAATGACCATCAAGGAATGATAATAATAATTTCAAACCCTTTGGGTATGATGAGCCAGTCTTGAGCGCCTCCATCATGATTAATTACTTGATCTACAAGCTGGAACTTGAGGACATAAACAATCATCCCAACCCACCTGCTCCCCAGGTTAATTTGACTCAAAGGGTACAACCCCCAGTTATGTAAGACTGAACTATATCACTCCCCTGGGCTCTCCAGGATGCTGGGAAACTGGTCCAGCCATGCAATAGGGCGGATGCAACCAGGCCACTGATTCATGGTGGACCCGTGTGAGGTATGGGTGCTCACCTTCCCTGCCCCAGCCCTGGGTGGTTCCCTGGCTCCCTCCTGGGCTCCTGGGTCTTTTCCCTCCACCCCCAGACCTCAGCCATTGAGGGATGGAACTGTCCCCACGTCCCATGGCATCCAGGCCTGGCTCCCCCCGCACACCAGCAAAGGGGCACACATAGACCCGCGCTGTCGCAGGTGTAGCCACGCCCTGCCTTACCTGGACCCGGTGGGCAGACGCATTGTAGCTGCCTCTGCGTAGGACAATCAGCTCCGCGTCCTCGTCCTTCTTGCTCTTCCGCCTTTCCACAAAGGCCAGCAGGGTCTCCTGCCGTGGCAGGTAGAGCAGAGCAGGGATTCTGTAGGCCTGGGCTCCCGAATGGAACACTCTTTCCTTCTGCAGGACGGGGCAGGACGCCATGGGGCTGCGGCGGGCAGGAAGAGAAGGCGAGTCACCTTCTGCCACACCTGAGATGGGGCCAGAGTCACCTACCAAGACAGGTGGCTCTCACCCCATGGGCGGGGGGCCTGTCCTTCCTTGCACCCTCGGACCCTGGATACCAATTCTGCATTCGGCTTCCATGGCATTGGGCTCATGAGACATCGGGAGGGGCCATCTGGAAAGGTGTGTTTTGTGTTAGATTTTTATTGCAAGTTAACGAGCCTCCTTTGACAGATCTGTGATAACCTTCAGCCGCTCTTGCCAAACCCAGCACAGCAGCGCAGTGACAAAGCTGGGTGGGCAGGCAGCGCCTGTGCAGCTGTCCAACTGCCAGAAAATGACACATGCGAGCTTTTTATAACTCCAGAGCCCTAGAAAGTTGTCTTAGAAAAAAAAAAAAGAAAAAGAAAAAAAAGCCTCAATCCTCAAGGCTCTGCTCCCCAGGCCGCCCAAGGCTAAGGCCCGGCCGCCCCCACTGTGTGGGCTCCCCACCCGAGGCAGCCAGGGGCGGCCGGGGAAGAGACGGCGGCTCCTGACAGCTAGCCGGGCTGGGGGAGCCTCCAGAGGTATACAAAAATGGAAATTAAAGTATTCGGCTAAAACATGTAGGGAGGGGCTGGAGATAACTTGGTGACAGCCGGTGTGACGATGGTCTCTGTGCTCGGCCGCCCAGGTCCCTGCAGGGGGACTCGCCCCAGCTTTGAGGAGTGCTGGGCTGCAGAGCCCCAAGGTGGGAAATAGCCACCGGCTGCCGTTGGCTGGAGCACCTGCTCCAGGACTTCCAGGAGGGGCTGCATGCACCTGATGACCAGCCCGCCCAGGACATAAAGCCCCTAGTTCTCACGGGGGACAGCTCAGCCCCAGAGCACCCCGGGATCACTGAGACTCCCTGAGACCGAATTGCAGCTTGTCCCCCTGTCACCCCTCCCTTCCACCGTGCGGACCCCGGGAGGCCCTGCCTGTGGATGTGTCTCCCGCTCAGAGCCAGCGCCCCTGGCCCTGCCCTTGGGGGGTGGGAGTGGGACAGGAGCCAGCAAGGGGGAACAGGCTCCCCTCTGCCTACCTCTGTACCTCTCCCATTTTGAGAATGTTAAAACTTAACATTCATTGTCATCTGTCAGTCTTTCATTCAATCCACAATGAACATTATTAGGAAAACAATGAGACAAAATAAAACTTGGAAAGGCGAACGCGGCACAAGGAAAACTGTGCTACGGGGCTGCGCACAGGTGGAAGGGTCGGTCTTGGTGATAAACCCTGGACCCGCCAGCTCTGACCCCGGAACACAGGCTTTGTAGACATGAGGGCTACATTGAAACTTTGTTACAAAATGTCAGTGAGAAAGAATCAAATATGATTAAAAGTTACCATGAAAATGGAGGAGAGATTGCAGTTTTACAGCGCTCCCTAGAAAATTGATGGAGGGTTTTATTTAAGCTCTGTGGAGCTGGCTCTGGAAAGTGTGTGCTTGGTGAACACTCAGAAGTGTTGGTAGAACTCAGATTTAACTGTTTATATTTAAAACGTCCTCAGGGCCAAAACTCTCTGTACCTGTCGCAGTGAGCTGGCCTTCTATAGCCAGGCGGGAGGGGGGTTGGCTGAGCAGAGCCACAAAGTCGTTCCAAGGCGAACGAGACAGAAGCGTCTTCAGAAGGACTCGGAGGGGAAAACTCAGGCAGGGTCTTTGAGGTTGCGGAGGGGCCCAGGCTAAGGCCTAGGAAAGGGGCCGGTGGGTTCTACAAGGTGACCGTGACAAGAGCTGGTGGCTGGTGCCACAGGGAGGGAGAAGAGAAGACGGCCCAGGTGAGGGTGGGGGCCTCGGGGCAGATCCAGTGAGTGCAGCCCCTCTTGGTCCACTGGCAATGTCGAATGCTGAGATATAATTCCCATACCATAAAGTTCACCTTTTATAAGTGTGTGATCCAGTGGTTCTACCTAATTCCAGAACATTCTCATCACCCATGCCCTTGAGACGCCCCTCCCCATTACGTAAGCACCTCAGCCCTGGCGAGCACCCACCTACGTCTGTCTCTCTGGATTTGCCTACTCCGGACATTGCGTATAAACGCAGTCACATACACGTGGTCCTTTGTGATGGCTTCTTTCACTCCGCATGATGTTTCCAAGGTTCGTTCCTGCTGTCGTGTGAGTCAGTACTTCATTCCTTCTTAGGGCTGGAAAGCATTCCATCATATGGATGTACCACTGCTACGGTCTGAATGCGTGCGTCTGCTCCAAAGTTCACGGTAACACTTAATCCCCAGTGCAAGAGGCAGGGACTTTGGGAGGTGGTCAGGCCTGAGGGCCACACCCTCACGGATGAGACTGGGCCCTCACGGAAGGGCTTGCGGGAGTGGGTCTGTCCCACTCTGCTACAGCGTTCTTCCCCCTGAGGGCACAGCGTTCTTCCCCCTGGAGGATGCGGCAACAAGGTGCCGTCTTGCAAGCCTACACAGAGCCCTCGCCAGACACCGAGCCTGCTGGCACCTTGACCTTGGGCTTCCCAGGCTCCAGAAGTGTGAGGAATAAATTTCTATGATTTATAAAGTACTCAACCTGTGATATTTTGTGATAGCAGCACAAGTGGACTAAGACGGCCTTATTTTCATGGATGTATTCATCAGTCGATGGGCATTTGGGTTGTTTCCAGTTTGGGGGGCTATGGCAACTAACGTTGCTATGAACATTTGTGTGCAAGCTTTGCGTGGGCATATGTTTCCCTTCTCTTGGGCACTGGCCTAGGAGTGGAATTGCTGGGTCATACGGTAGTTCCACGCAGCTCCTATCCGACGATTTTGCACGGCAGCTACACCATTTCAAATTTTCTCTGGCAGCGTAGGGGGGGGTTCCAATTTCTCCACATCCTCAACATTTGTTATTTTATTATTATTATTATTATTTTGACAGAGTCTCGCTTTGTTGCCCAGGCTAGAGTGCGTGCTGTGGCATCAGCCTAGCTCACAGCAACCTCAATCTCCTAGGTTCAAGCAATCCTCCTGCCTCAGCCTCCTGAGTAGCTGGGACTACAGGCATGCGCCACCATGCCTGGCTAATTTCTTTCTATATATATAATAGTTGGCCAATTAATTTCTTTCTATTTATAGTAGAGATGGGGTCTTGTTCTTGCTCAGGCTGGTTTCGAACTCCTGACCTTGAGCGATCTGCCTGCCTGCCTCGGCCTCCCAGAGTGTTAGGATGGCAGGCATGAGCCACCTGGCCCGGCCAACACTTGTTATTGTGTCTTTTTGATTCTAGCCATACTCGTGGGTGTGAAGCAGCACCTCATTTCCGGTGGCTTTGGATTTGCATTCCCCTGATGAGGAATGAGGCTGAGCAGCTTCACAGGTGCTTCTGGCCATGGGAGTTGGATTTCAGCCCGGAGGCAATGGGAAGATTTCAAACCTTTTGAGGCAGGGGAGTGATCCGACCTGATTTATATTATAGGAAGTCCCTCTCTCGGTTTCGTGGGACAGGGCGTGGAAGGTGAGCGTGCTGCAGGTTTCCAGATGAGATCATATCACAGCCCGGGTGATGCAGAGACCGTGGCAACTGAGGTGGCCAGGCTGTTACAGACGGGGCGCAGGACCAACATGATTTCGAGGGCAAGCCCACATTTCCCTTATCTGGAATTGGTTTGCACAGTGCCTGTGACTGCCTTCCACATTCCTCCGTGGGATTCTAATCTCCTAAGGGAGGGGACATATTTATTCTTTCATGTATTTGCTTTGCTCCTACCACGTGCCTGGAACTTGGAACGTGGTCATGAATAAAACAGACAAAGATGGCCGCTCTCGTGGAGTTTGCATCCTACCAGGGATGGACAGGTTGCTATTAGTGACAGATACCTAGACGGGACTCACTAGGACCAGGACCAGTCTGGGCATTTCCAGGATTGCGTCCTCTGACCTCATCGCCCCCTGGCCTGTGTACAGCCCGGCAGGCTTAGAGCGATGCCGTGTGGACGCGGGACACTGTGGACACCTGCAGGCCCAGGCCCTAGGTGGGCGCTGGTCCCTCTAAGCATTTGTCCTATGTGTACTTAGAGACAAGGGTAGGCACAGGAGCGGGTGGAGGAACAAGAGGACCTCAGAGTCCCCTGGAGGTCTCTTCCCTATTGGCCTCAGGGACTCAGTACTGGTCCAAACACCCCCCCCCACACACACACAATACCAGTCCCCAAATGTCCTCATAATAATAATACCAAACACTCATACAGCCCTTACAAAGTGCTGGGAACTCTGAGTGCCCTCCAGTGTTTTCCAAATATGTTTGTAAATTCTATTTATACATTTTATAATTGACAATACAATTTACAAATATTGATTTGTTTAATCCTGGTGACACCCCCAAGCTCACCTAACCCTTAAGTGGCAGAGCTGGGACTAAGCCCACGCAGCACTTTCTCCGAGAGGAGTTCTGGAAAATGCCACTGTCCTGCTCCTCATTAACTTCCCAGAGTTGCTCAGCACCCCCCTGCAGACAGCCGGGCCCCCTCGACCCTACTCTGGCTCCATACACTGGCAGCTGCTTCAGGCTGATGTGGTGGGAACAGAACCGAATTAGGAATCAAAACGTTGAATTCTGGTCCTAGGTCTGCTGCTAACAGGTTGCAGATCATTGTCGAGAATCTACCTGCCTGGGTTCCACCTCCCGCCTGGGAAGAAGGGAGCTGCATGACGTTTCCGCACAGGCCTCTGCCACGGCCCATGGGGCAGCCTAGATGGGGATCGAGGGGCTGGGGCTGGGGGAACGAGCCGGAACCCTGCACCCCCAACCCCTGGGCTCTCCTGCCACGAGACCCATGGCTGGGACCCTGAAGTCTGAAAGTTCCGAGAAGTCTCTCACAAATGACAAGCAGTGGAGGGTCCCCGCCCGCCTTTAGCCGCCTCTCCTGTCGACAGTGCAACCTTGTGGACACCTTGCAGACCCTGGGGCCTCGTTGCCAGCATTCACTTGCCCGATTCAGGGAGCTGCTCTGGCAATTCACAAATCCCTATCGAGCACCTTCCGAGAGCTGGGAAACAGATGAACAGAGAAGCCCTGCCCTGCTGGATCCCAGGACAACAAGGCAGGGCCGATAATTGTGGGGTATGAGGAAGAGCATTCTCGTTCTCGGCTTGGTTTGGGGTGGGGCTTTGCCTGCGGGCTCCCGCATTGGAATGATGGAATGATGGAGTAATGCCCTCCCTTCAAAGAAGCAGTCAGCTGACAGCACCAGCAAAGCAGGCATGTGGGGCAGCAAGCCCAGGGCACGGTCAGCCTCTTTCCCCCCGAGAAAAAATCCATTTCCAGCGGGTTCAACAACTCAGCCTGGGCCGGTGCTTGCGGGTTCCCACGTCTCCACCCCAGGCTGGCACAGGGCTGCTGTGCGGCCTG